AGAGGAGAGATAAATCCAACGTACGGAGGTTGGTATAGCAGACCTTGGCCGTCGTGAGGGCGGGTGAGAACGCGGCGAAAAAGCGCCTGGTGTGGTTCCCCCGTACAATAGTTACTTGCGTAGGCGTTCCTTATCGATCCTCACGACAAGGACCCTCTATTTTAGTTGTATTTGCCTCAATATGGTGGGGATACTGGTGATTCCGGTTCGTACTAGCACCTCCGTGTCGGAGATCCCGTGTTTCCGGCTCAGCGCAATAGTCAAATACAATTGTGTTGGCAGTTATTCAGTTGTCTTACTTATCTGCAGGAAGTAAACGGTCGCCAAGGTGTCTTGCAAATCAGCCCAGATTACGTTTCAGACGCGCGTAAGCTCATATTCCCATTTGTTATGCTTGTTGCAATAATAGGTTGCATGTCAGTTATTGATCCAATTATAGGAATCTGTTACTAGAATATACTATCCGCTGGTTTTAGTAAGTATGGTTGATAGAATTAGCACTTTTAGCGGTGGCATATGACATTTAGCAGCAGTATCCTTGCCCAAACCTAGTAAAATGTGACACAATTTCTGGTGGACAGTGGTTATAGGGCGGAAATCAAGGCAAGCCCTGATGTGCCCCGCGTCTCAAAAGCATGTAATTTCTTGGAATGGTCAGTATTACAAACAGTCAGCTACATTGTTATTCAGGAGTTTAAAAAAAAGTAGTAGTGGCATGAGCCGCAGAAATGTGAGTCTATATACGGCAAACTGCACGACAAAGAGCATGGTAGGACTTGCGCATTATTTACAAACAAACTAATATTTTCCAAATGCCAATCACTATTACCTCACACAGATTGGGAGTGCATACTGGGTGCGACTCCTTAAAAAGCACACACAGGCAGTACTTATAGTATACTATCTACTGGCCTTAGTAAGCATGATTGCTAGGAATTAGTACTTTTAGCATAGGCACGTACCTATAGCAGCAGTATCTTAGTCCGTACCTAGTAGAAGCATACACAGTTCGATGGATAGAGCTGAGAGTACAGAAACCAAGTCAAACGCTGCTGTGCTCAGGACCCAAAGCATGTACTTACCCGAAATAGTTAAACCCAGAATCACACTCCAGGTTGAGACCAAGGGAATATGAGCCCCAGCGTTGGCTTAAACAGCGTCACCTGTGACAAATGCTGGCGTCAGTGCTAGCACAAGTACTACTACACTTTTTGCAGAGATTAAGGGGATAGGAGCCAAGTATTGACGTCAATCAGCGGCACTTCTGACTTAAAAAACATTCAGTAATATTACCAGCAAATACTATCACTCAGCTACACCCTAGTAAGTAAAAGAAGCAGTATTGATAGTAGCAGTACCAGTCCTGGCTTACTAAAGTCTGGTTAGAAACCTACTGTAGGTGAGTGAGGGCAGACAGTGCAGTAGTATCCGCGCAATGTCTACTGTCACTAAAGGCTAACCCAGGCGGTGTTTCAGGCTGCTTTGGAGAAAGCGGCTTCCGCCCAAGGCCTCATTCGGTCATCTCGACTTCGGTCTTGCAACCGGTCAAAACGGTTAGGGTTGGAGTAAGGTAGAAACTTGCGCGTCTTATTTCACTATAATCTCGTACTTCGCACCATTATCATCTCTGCTATAGAGCACACGGTGGACTTTATTGAAAGCAATGGTCATACTACAAACAGGTCTTGGCGTAGACTGCCCATATCTCTACCTAGTAGCGCAGCGTTCGCAGGGATACCTCACTGTTGATCTTGGGTTTCTTGTTGAATTGAAATCCACGGCAGTTTTAGACAGAGGCTTGCCATCGACCGAAGACCTAGCTGGCTTGAGAGATCCGGTCGGTCACCTCGTCGTCCTTGAAATTGTACTTACGAAATATGCGGATTTGTCTGCTGATGCAAATTGACCGTCATTGTACTTCGCGGTGGCTGCCCGTTGGACATTACCAAAATCGTCCCAAGTTCGTGGTCAGTCCGAAGATAGAGCCACTCGAAGCTGAGGGACCCATACTCCATTGCATCCCGTTGTGTTATTTAGTACTTAGGCATCCTCAGACAATTGATCATGAACAGTGGTAGTGAATAGTTCTCGGGACGCTTTATGTTGCTAAATGTCGAAAAATTTCCCTTTCGTTCAGTAGTCTACGTAAATACCCGGCCGACTCTTGTGGTGGGCGTTTACCAGCATGGTGGAGAACATGAAACTGGATAGGGCGGAGTCTAATACGTAGACTTGGTTCACCCCATCGCTCTCGCTGAATGCTTCAGAGATTGCACCAATGTCCGCGACAGAAGCTATCCTCCGCTTCCGCAGTTGGAAAATTAATTCAATGAACTGCTCCGGAAATCAAACTTCTTCCATTATTTTCCAGTATACATCATGGTTGACTGCATCGAAGGCCTTTGTCAATCGACAAACCGGTCGGTCCTCCTCTCCCCACCCTTCTCTGGTATTTTGCCAGGCTGCGAAGATCTTTTCGATTATTCCGCGGCCGCTGTGAAATCCGCACTGACTTTCTGGCCTTTGAAAATTGCTGTCTAGTTGAAGTTCTTTCTCAAACAGCACACGTTAGCGGACCGAACATCTTCTCGAGACCTAACTTGACCAAACCTACCCGAGGGGGTTGCTCACAGGTATTCGGGAAATCGGATAGATAATTTTGCGAATAAAATGTTCTGCGCAATGCTCAACTGCGAGGCCTGATCGTCTGAAAAAGCTGCGCTCCATTGGATTAACAAATATTAATCTGCTTGTCCATGATGTTCCACATTAGAGACGTAATCCAAGGTTCGAGACGGTAATATTCTTCGAGAGAACCAGTTGTAAAAACGTTTACCTTCCTCATGCCAAGCATTCATGAAAGGTTATGTTTTGAAGACGTTCAACATGATGCCTATGGCTCTAGTCTCAAACACGCCAACCATTGGATGGGCTGAATACGACGATAAAGTAGGAGAACTCGCTATTTACGAGTTGTATGCAGTGGGTTGTGCCCTCTGGTCATTAGTCAGTAAGAAGTACAGACACACAGAGTTGAGTAAAACCTCCGACCACGTTGAGGCTCGAAATCCTGAAGAATGATTTTGTACAGCGTAGCAGTCGAGAACAGGAGATTTTTTTCCAGTCCTTCGGTGTTCTCAAATGCTATTGTAGTGACGAACATGCAGCCGGCGAACTTTATGATTTCGTGA